GTAGTAGTGTCTCCCCCTTATGGGTAATCAATGTCGTTAAACAACTCCTAGTAGTAGTTTCATCCCGGGTAGTCAAGGTGGTTACAACTAGTCCTGTTATACCAACCAAAAATTGAGTTATGTCTGCAATGTTGTTATTTCCTGATATGAATGCATAGTGATTGACCAACTAGTAGATTTTGGAAATTATTTCACTTTCGTTGCGCATGAGGTTACGACTAGGTTGTCTTTTATTGATTTATTGTTATGATCACACACGTGGTTTCTTTCATTTGTTATCTACTCTTTTTGTTTCCTTGTGAGGATACGTTTTTCAGTCTTTGTGTTTTTATTTTGGTTATGTCACTTCAATCCTGTTATCTAAACAAAACAATCCTCTTAAATTTTAATATTCTGTTATGTATTGGATATTGATTATTTAGGTGTACCATGCTGTTATTTATTAATATACCAGTACGATGTTTTGTCCAACTCTCCATATTGAACATATGATATAGAATCTACAAAAAAACACTTTCAACAACACTAACGGGCGTTTATGATCAGACACTTTATGAACCCAAAATAATATGTACAGTACATAAATATTAAACTTTAGATTTCATTGCAAATATTCAAACATGCATGTTTTCAAATCAATTATAGATATATTCTCCCAAACATATTTTTGAAAACAGGAAATTTGTATTTAATAATTCAGATGAATTTGTGGTACATTTACAGGTGGGCGAGTGTTCCCGTACAGCTAAACCAAAGGATCACAAACATATAAGTCCTAACCTAAACCGACACCTACTATAATTCACAAAGATGAACAGTTCAACTCTTGTTCGTCGAGTGTCCCTGTACAGCTAAACCAACGGATCACAAACATATAAGTCCTATACTAAACTGACACCAACTAAAATTCACAAAGATGAACAGTTCAACCCTTGTTTGTCGAGTGTTCCTGTACAGCTAAACCAAAGGATTACACACATATAAGTCCTAACCTAAACGGACATCAACTATAATTCACAAAGATTAACAATTCAACTCCTGTTCGGCGAGTGTTCATGTACAGCTAAACACAAGGATCACAAACATAAAAGTCCTAACTTAAACCGACACCAACTAAAAGTCATAAAGATGAACAGTTCAACTCTCGTTCGTCGATCTTTAAATTCACAATGACATTTTGTATTGGTATTGCAAAGTAAAATATTTAAAATTTAGTTTATAGGCTGAAGATACGATCAATCGACACAAATGCATTTGGGTTATCATGCGACCGCCTTACAATCTGACAGCATGGCTTGGTCAGTCTAAGATTTGTACTGCTAACAAGAGTTTCAGAATAATTATATATACATTGTGGTCCCTAATAGTTCATGTCATGAACTTATCGATTGATGACAATTCGGCAAGTCATGCAAACATTCTTTTTTTCTTTTAAGGTTTTTCTACGTACAAACATTGAAGGACGTGTTTAATAATGATGTCACGCACCAATGATTAACTAACAATATTACAAACGTCTTGCGCATAAAAAACATGAAATAACGATAAATAGAGTAATATATACATTATAACATCGTCAATTGTGCTCGTTATATTGGACACAGTTTAGTAAGTGTCTAAGGAAAAACCCTCAAAGTCAAAACCTTCATTCCTAAAAACATAAAATAAAACATTTGAAAATAATAGATTTCTGTCGCTGCTGTGTTTTGATTAGAATATTTACGAAGCGCACGATGTTCAACCAGCATGATATTATTATCATAACAAGCAATAGTGTGACTTGGAATATAGAATTTCACTTTATACAAAAGGAATTGGTTTACTTCGTTTTTCTCCTCATGATGAATATTTGACTAAACGTTAGACTAACTCGCATACAAATGTAAAAAAATCCAGACATTTGACATAGTAAAACATACCAGAGACAAGTGGTATGTTGTAATCTGAAATCAAAATGTAAATAAACATTTGTTCCAGTAGATATTTACTTCTAAATCAAGCAGAAGACTGTTGTTCTTTTCTCTATATATAACATTGAATCGTGTCCTTAATTCGATAACTCTAGATTCTAGTTGAACTGGAATCGAAAAGTTGCAATATCATATTATATGATACCAGAGACAAGTGGTATGTTGTAATCGGAAATCAAAATGTAAATAAACATTTGTTCCAGTAGATATTTATTTCTAAATCAAGCAGAAGACTGTTGTTCTTTTCTCTATATATAACATTGAATCGTGTCCTTAATTCGATAACTCTAGATTCTAGTTGAACTGGAATCGAAAAGTTGCAATATCATATTATATGATACCACCTGATGTACGATGAATGAAAAGTTAAAAGATAATACAAGTCCGCACAGGATAAACAGTTGTTAACCGAATGAATAACGATATGAAGAACGACATCTTAACGGACGATAATCATCGATGCAGAAAGCCTTATCACCAGTTAACTAAGCGAAGTCACTGATAAAAACGAATGAAGAAAGCCTGATCACCAGTTAAAAAAAGCGTATTCACTGGTATATAAAAAAAACAACATAATTAGCTCAACCATTAAAGAAAAAGAGAATAATTAAATATTACCAATCCACATTTTTCTGATTGAGTTCCATTAACATATCCTCCATAACTAGAAGTTAATGAAACACCAGACACGGCTTCTTCTGCCTCATTTTAAGACTTATACCTCGAATTTGACATAAGCAGTCATCTTCATACCAGAATCTATGACAAGCGAGACGATTTTAATTTTGAAATTATAAATTTTCCCAACCTTGGCAGCAATATACTGCACCTACATATGGGATATCTATTCCAAACTCATTCGCTATTCAAGAGCTTTCCACTGCTACTTAGACTTTATCAGACGTCATCAGTGTCTGAGCAGATTGTTGATGAGGCAAGGTTATGTCGAAGAACGTCTCGTCCTTTTTCTAAAAAAGTTCCTTGAAAGATACCAAGACCGTGTTTATAAATATTCCATCACAAATAATTCATAATGGTCTCGAAGAATATATAATAGGTACTGACGTTGTTTATCATCTTAATTACGTGTTAAAGTTTTCTTTTTTATTGTCCTTGTATATTTGTAACCTTTACTGTTTAGTCTATTTTTGATTATATACTTATTACGTGGCTGGGTACTTATACATCCTGCTATTATGTAATTGTGCTATGGTCAATTTTGAGTTCATGTCTTTTATTTTTTCTATGCACTTTGTCTACATGCCCTTTTGTGTTTGTTTGTTGAAACAGTTATTTGTTTTTATAATGATTTAGATGTTGACTACTGACCCCAATTTTTTACGGTTTTTCCTATAATGTCTATTTGTTTTGCTCACATATGGTTGTCAATATAATGGAATTCAATGCAACTGTCATAGAAGTGAGAGGTTTAGCTAGCTATAAAACCAGGTTTAACCCACCATTTTCTAAAAACGGCAATACCTGTTCCAAGACAGGAATATGATAATTGTTTTCCATTCGTTAGATGAGTTTGAGCTTTTGATTTTGCCATTTTATAAAGAACTTTCCGTTTTCAATTTGGTATGTTTGTTACTTTACTTTTCACTGCGTCTGTTCTTACAATAAAAAAAAAGTCGCAATGTAAAAGCAAAACTGTTTATCTGCAAAGGTTTCTCTAGACGTGTTTTAAGATATTGTCTTCCTTTACTGTTTATTAGATCGCTGTATGTTATACTTGTACTAAGTGTATTGATCGATATCAAATTTAGGCAATAGTAGTGTGCTGATGTTCAATTCTCATAAATCTATTAAGAGGATACAAATCAAGGTATACAACAGAAACTGAGTAATTCCTGTTATATCACCCACTATGTAGATCAACACTCAGTCAAAATATCACATTCACAATATTAGGGGGAGGGTTGCCGCCTTGAAACTAATATTATCACATATTAAGTGTAGCGGAGTTAGATTTCTAATTTTATAAAATGTACTTTGATTGTGCTGAGTGTAGCTATGGTGATTGTTTGAGTAGCAGAGTACGTACTTTGCGTTTTCTTTGTGGAGCTGTGAGGATTCCCTAGTAAGCAGGGTAAGTACTTTTAGTTTCGTTTGTGTAAGTGTGGAGACTCTTTTTTTCAGGGTAAGTATTTTGAGTTTGGTTTGTGTAACTGTGGGGAACCTTTAACTAGCAGGGTAAGTACTTTGATTTTGTTTTGTGTAACTGTGATGATCCTCTAATTAGCAGGGTAAGTACTTTGAGTTATCTTTGTATAACTGTGGGAATCATTTAATTAACAGGGTAAGTACTTTGAGCATGTTGAGTGTGGTTTGTGGGACTGTCAGGATCCTTTAATTAGCAGGGTAAGTACTTTGAGTTTTTTTTTGTGTAAATGTGAAAAGTAGTTAATTAGCAGAGTATGTACATTGTACTTTGAGTTTGGTTTTGTATAAATGTTTGGATCCTTTATTAGCATGGTAAGTAATTGAGTTTGTTTTTTTGTAACTGTGATGATCCTTTCATTTTACAATTGATGTAATTTGCGTCTATCATGTTTATTGGACTAACATATATGTTATGGGGCAAATTGTTTTTGCTGGTTTGTCAAAGTTGTGCAATTGTGTTGATGACGTTTATGATTAGCTAAGGTATATCCTTTATATACCAGGTCTTGTAATGTTTGAGAATGCATAATTGCAATAACTGAAAACAGGTTTCACAAAAGTTTATTAAGACAATGGCAAATCTACACTGTTACAATACTATAAATCAAAGTTATTTATAATTAACCATATGGAAATCGTGTATTATTTGTGTTCAGGTTTTAATACACAAGATAACCAGAAAAGAAAGTCATACCTTCTATAAATGTTCCTCTACGAATTGGATTATTCCGTATTTTGATAACATCGCCTCGTTTTAGAGATACTATTGCATTCATTGAGCTTCCAGCACTACTTGCGCCAGTTGATGCTTCGGATAAAACATAGTTATTTTTGACCATTTGCAAGTGTAGACCATAGCTATTATATATCATCAATGAATGAAATGTAGAAATAAAGAAATACACTCCATCATAAGGAGCAGTAAAATGCCCATTTCGATTGTTATAAGCACTTCCAATGTTTGTGATAACGTAATCAAATACCACTGTCTTTGAAGGCTCCATAACTTCAATCCTTGGTTGTAGTTTTGCATGAAATGCAACTCTCTTATCTTGTCCACCTGATAAGATAAACAGTATTGATTGATTGGCGGTTGCTTAATTTCATGTGACAAATTAATCAACAGTATTTGTTATGTATACGTTGATTAACTAAAAAAAAACATGCACCAGCATTTATTCATTCAAGGGATATTTGTCTATCAAATATCAGTAACTATGTGTTAAATTTGTCTATCAAATATCAGTAACTATGTGTTAAACTTGTCTATCAAATATCAGTAACAATGTGTTAAATTTGTCTATCAAATATCAGTAACTATGTGTAAAATGTGTCTATCAAATATCAATAACTATGTGTTAAATGTGTCTATCAAATATCAGTAACTATGTGTTAAATTTGTCTATCAAATATCAGTAACACGTGTTAAATTTGTCCTACGCATCAGCTTAGGTTTTCAAATTTGCATATTAGAACTATAATTCAAAAAAGGAGAAATGTTGCTATTCTGCTAGATATACGAACAAGTTGATTTAAGTAAAATATATGTTGTTAATACTATCGTAGCTCTTACACCAATTTACCAAACACTGTGTATAAAAGGGTAATTAAAGTTGTGATGTGTGAAGTATAACCCACATGCTAGTTGACTGACCATTCAATGTCATAAATCTTATTTAATTACAGGGTCTGAATTTTAATGTGTATTCATCGTTAAAAGTTTTGCTATTAACTTACTATTCTGATTGAAAAAAATACTTTACAAATTCATTGCGTACGCAGCGCTTTTCTGAATTTGTCTCAACTCAAACCTAGTGATTTGAAAGCAAGTAATGTGAAAAAAGGAAACAACCGTTGGAAGCTATATGAACTAAAATAATAATCAGATGGCTTCTATGGTCAATTTTGTCATAAGGAATTAAAACCTTATTTTCTTAAAACACTAGAGCATTTCTTACTCTGAAGCTTCGACTTTATAGATGCTAGTTCAGACTTGATATCCTGTTTCAACCTAGTAAACTCTGGAAATAGATCCAGAACTGATTGCTCTAGCTGCAAGGAGGGTCGTCCCAGGAAGTTCAAAGCGAATATTGCAGCAAAGATGTGAACTATCAGTCCCATGACCTGCGGAGTGAGGTGATGCAGGTTGTACAGTGATGTTATAAAAACGAGGTTTAAAGCTGAAATAAACGTTTAATACATTATTTGACAACACATCATACACAATATATTCTTTAAGTCAGACAATGTAGACATGCAGGTATAAGAAATGATTTTATATTGATGTTTAACTCGAAAAATATAAGAAAATAACTTTGCAACGGACTTGAACTTGTATCATACGATCTCGTTTCATGTCTGTTTTGATTAAAAAAAATGTAAAACGAAAAACTTATTGATGACGTCACAATGCAATCAGTTATGACCCCAAAGAAAACTAAGCGTTTGCATTAAATGTACATTTTTGTAAATATAAAAATTAAAAGATATGGCATGATTGTCAATGAAACAACTCTCCACAAGAGATCAAATGACATATAAATTAACATCAAAAGGTCATCGTACGGCCTTCAACAATGATTAAAATCCATACTGCATAGTCAGCTATAAAAGACCCAGAAATGATAAATGCAAAACAATTCAAACGAAAACACTATCGGCCTGATAAATGCATAAAATAATGAACGAAAAACAAATATAACATGTATAATATATAGCAACAAATGACAACCACTGAATTACAGGCTCTTGACTTGGGACAAACACATACATAATGTGGCGGGATTAAACTAGTTTGAAGGCGCCCCCTCGTTCAAAGCCAATAACAACTAACAAAATATCATTCATCTTAGACTCAAAGACTTCATGTTTAGGCAAAATATATAGTTTTTCGTTTTTTTTCTCTCTCTCTCTCATATATATATATATATATATATATATATTTTTGAAAACTTAAAATTTCAAAGGTTCATTTCGTACATCGTTTAAAACTCAGCACATGTTATTAAGCAATAAGAGTACACAATTAACAATAATCAGTTGGCTTTCTGTTTGACGTTTTCACTATACTCTATTAATAATGTTTACATTGGTTAAATTTTAAAAATGTATCAACCTATATCAATTACCAACAATAACCCGTTTGTTGTTTTAATAATTGTCAGGTATTTTTTTTTAACTTGTTTTGTTTTTATTCTGCATTTCCTGACTACTTGTATAAAATTAATAACGTTGGCACAAATCTTGTAGCCCATGTTTTCTGGTAATGTGCTGTTGTCATGAAATAGAGGTTCCTTTATGATAACAGTTTCACTAGGGACAGATATTATGGCCCAATTGTGTATAGCAAAGCTTTCATTGGAACCTCTATTACGCACAACAAATATACGTTGACACCACGAGTTAAAGTATTAAAAAAAAACCCAAGAAAAACGGAGTACGGAGTAAGGAGTCTTCAATAGTTTACTTGAAGATCATAATGTTGAATTTGGGTGCCGAAACTATCACCACTGGGGTCTGTTGTTCAACTTGTCGATTGTGCTAATGAGTCGTAAAATTTTCTTAATCATTTGAGGGTGTATTAAATTTTAATCATATGATTAAAACATCAAACATGGCTGCTGTAGCAATGCGAACATTGGTGTGTTCTCGAAAAATGAGATGTATCCCCTGAAAAGGGAGTTTAGCAATGACCAGCTATGAAAGCTCTTTAGATTTGAAAAAAAAAAAAAACACAATAGATGTGTTAGGAGTTGAGTTGAAACATAAATTGGAAACAGATTAGACAAGACAGTGTGAAGGATCGAACGGATACATATAATAGTCATCCGATAACAGAAAGAAATTGCACTTATCGACAGTTATTCGTTTGTATGTTACCGCTTACCGAGCAGTGTTGATTTTAAAATGCTAAAGACGGGCAACATTATTGTGCGGAATCATTCAACAGATTATGACGAACAAGCTTTTATAAATAATAAAGGTTACCATAGCATTAATGTACAGGCCATAATTGATTTCCCAAGCAAGTCTTTGTTTTTAAGTTCAAATTTTAGCACATTTAGTAGCGCTCTTGACTTAACTGCTTGCGCAGGTAAATTTAAATGGATAAATTCGGCCCTCAGATAGCTCGGACCAAACGATATTAATATTTTTGCGTAGTTTTATTTTATCACACCGCTATTTATTTTCATTTAGGAAAAATTATGAGCTTGACGAGGATAAAAATATTTATAATGAAAATTTGCTCTAGTAAGTGTTTTATGTCAGTGATTAAGTATAAAATTCAGATATAGTGAATAAAAAGTCTCACCATATTTCATAGTTGACACGATATACAAAAACAAGCACCTGTTATTCAGAATTTGGAAAACCTAAGTTCAGAGAGTCAGGGATTTTTCAAAACAGGAACAGTTATACTGGTCCTAGTTCAAAAGAAGTCAGAGACTGATTTTGGAAGGGGGCGGGCTCCCCCTCCGTTGATTATTTAGGGAATTACTGAAGCATGACTAGAGCGGGCCCCCTCTTAGGCAGTCAGTGCCCCCCTCCCTTATGAAAATTTCAAAATCCGCCGTTAGAAGTCTTATGCCGCGTGAGGTGAGGGGTAGGGGGCCTATTACTAGTAACTTCAGGAATCAAAACACTTTCCAATCATTCATATCACCAATATTTGTTTGATTTTTTTTAAAACTGAACACTGCTTCTCCCATGTCTCTGTTAAAGATGTGGTTGACATATAATAAATTTGATATATTAACTCCGTGAAATTACAAACCATTGATATATTTGACATTTCAAAAAAGTAACCCATACCTGTGGAACGTCTGTGTATATCTGCATATAGGAAAAAGAACCCCCACTCCTTGTATATATTAATCTTTCTGTATGTGCCTGTCCCAAGTCAGGAGCCAACAATTTAGCGGTTGTCGTTTGTTGCTGTATATCATATCTGTTTTTCGTTTATTGTTTTGTACATTTATCATGGCGTTAGTTTTCTCTTTGAACTATTTAACAAATGAAATCGTCATTTCGGTGCCTTTTGTAGCTGACTATGATGTTTGGGTTTTGCTCATGTTTGAAGGCGGTAAGGTGACATATAGTTGTTAACTTCTACATCATTTGGTCTCTGGTATACATATAGAGAATTACTTTATGTGCAATCATACCATATCTTTCTATTTCTATATTTACGCACCCCGCGTGAATATCTGATACCAAAGATATATCATAGTGTCGGATAGTTTTATTTTATCTTTTTTTTATTGTTTTGTAACTGCATAAAATACTTGTACAGGTTTTTGTTAATAAATGTAACGAACACGTCGTAAATTCATTTTGATAAAAACAAACTATGCCGTATGATTAACAATTTATGTTATTGTTCATAGTTCTGAATTTATTTTCACCATCCATAACAATCATCTAAAATGTTATCTTGGCATGCCATACTTGATAGAAATGCGGACGTGAAAGAAAGCACTCTTCACCAAAGCGTCAACGGAGATTACATTCAACGGATGTAATATTACGATAATTTCATCATTTATCAAACAAAATACCTGGAATCTGTATCGAGTTGTACTTAATGAACAACAGAAATTACAGGTTTTTAAAGAATTCGTCATCATATTGCTGAATAAATTTAACAAAGACTTCAAATTATCAGCTATCAACACTCAAATTCCGTGAAACTAAAAGATAAACTTTATACAACCAACACGGTAACAACTTAAATTAGAGATTAGCCTACCGAGGACAAACACTGACAATATTTCCAAGTTGGAACAGCCGTTGCTGCACGGTAAAACTAGTTTGAACGATGTTTAAAACTTTTTATAGAAATACAATTTTACTTAATGCATGCAATTTGTTTGGGTTTGTTTTTTCTACAATAACCAAGGTCCATCATTTCAGATAACAACTTCTGTGAACAAACAAATGAAACATTTTGGGCCTAATCCATTGTAGTCATGATCAGTAATGGGTGAATCGAGATGTGTATTATTGCAAAATGTACCCAAAAGCACATTTTGTTAAACAGAATGCAGTAATTTCTGCATTTCTTAAATCATTTTCCCCTTCAAGCACATTTAATTTTAACTCAAACAGACAATTTTGATGAATCTAAACTATGTATATATTACCATACAAAATATGAACATGTTATAAGATATTTATTCAATCATATATATATTTGACACTCAAAAACTGGGTAAAAAGAATTAGGATATAATTTAAAGCAGAAAAGGATGTTATAGGTCCTGATTTACAATGCATTGTGGGAAACACTTGCTAATTAGCCAAAATTAATCATATGATTAAAAATTAATACAGTGATTAATTAATACAATGATTACAATCAGTTTAACAACACGATTTAATCATTGTATTTACTAGTCATGCGATTAACTTTTAACGACTAGTTAAAATTACTCATATGATTAGTTTAAAGCCAAGTTGAACAACAGACCCCTGGTGTAGAATTAACGAGGGTCTGATTTGACTAGGTGCTGAAATAACAATCACATTTGCCGATTTGACCAGGTGCCGATTTAACCAGCGCCGAAAAAAGTAAAATCACAAAAATACTGAACTCCGAGGAAAATTCAAAAAGGAAAGTCCCTAATCGAAGTGATAAGAATTCTCCCTAGTGACGTTTTAGTTTTCAATTAGCGTGAACCATGTATAGTTGGTAAATCATGAAGTCAGGTATTCCGACACCACAAGTAGCTTAAAACCTTTTTCTTTCAGATAGAAAAATGGGTTTTAAATTTAGCCTAACGTGAAGACCTTATTTAAAACGAAATATCACATTCTTATTTGTATTGTGATTTTGTAAATAAGTTCGGCAAATTAACATATGATCCATGAATAATTATCAATTCGTTGAAAAAAACTTATTTATCAATTTACCACTGTACATGTAGTAAGTTTGTTGACTTTTGTGTTCATCAGTACTTACATTGATATTTTGTTTAAATAAATTAAAACATAACTTAACATGTATGACTATACTACATGTACGATACGTATGTAACTTGTATTTTACAAGGTCTTATGACATGTGCCCTTTAAATACATATAATTATGATTTATTTATGAGTTTCAATTGACTTTGAAACATTTTGCAGTAATCTAGAGTTCTTTAAGATCTATGCTTTGTGTTGTTATTTGTTGTTGTTGGGTAATTTGTGTGTGTTAATTAGTGCCGAATCAACCATTTGAACTGATTTTCATAGCTTTTTGTCGTGATGTTACACCATTATTTCGGGTTATGGGTTGTACAACCCGCCACATTCTGTATGTGTCTGCCAACAGTCATGAACCCGTGATTTAATGATTGCCATTGGTTCCTTTCACATTCTGTATGTGTCTTTCAACAGTCAGGAGCCTGTGAATTAGTGATTGTCATTGATTCCTGCAATATTTGTTTTTGGATTCCTTCATTTAGGATATATAAGGCCGTTGGTCTTTTCTTCTGATTTGTCTACCATTTTGTCATGTTGTATCCTTAAATAGCCTACTTTACGGTTTGCGTTATGCTCATTGTTGGTTTATAGTTGTTTTCATATTCGTCCGTTGTACTCAAGTGGATAGGTTTCTCATTAGCAATCATTCTACATCACATAAACTCAAGTGGATATGTTTCTCATGAGCAATCATTCTACATCACCTAAACTCAGGTGGACAGGTTTCTCATGAGCAATCATTCTACGTCATCTAAATTCAAGTGGATAGATTTCTCATTATCAATCATTCTACATCACCTAAACTCAAGTGGACAGGTTTCTCATGAGCAATCATTCTAAATCACCTAAACTCAAGTGGAAAGGTTTCTCATTAGCAATCATTCTACATCACCTAAACTCAAGTGGACAGGTTTCTCATTAGCAATCATTCTACAGCACCTACACTCAAGTGGATAGGTTGCTCATTAGCAATCATTTTCATCAACTAAACTCAAGTGGATAGGTTTCTAATTAGCAATCATTCTACATCACATACAATCATAGTTGTTACAGGATAGCATTGGTCGGATTTGAAATCTGTTTTACTAGACATCAATGCAATATAAAGTAAATTTCAAATTCGAATACTATTAAACTAACATTGACAGAACCAGCGACATTAAGGAATGAATTCCACCCCAGTGCTAGGTAAATCTTATATATTTCCTACTCCACTTTGAATGCCTATATTTTTTTAAAAAAGACTACCAATTTGAAAGCTCTAGGTCTTGCAAAGTGCAAGTAATAATCTTTTATTTTGTAAAAGAGCTTAAAAGTTTGTTTTTTTTTCTAGTATAATATATCTGCTAAGAACGAAAGATATTTACAAACAAATTTAATCAAATCACAAAACCGCGGTCATATTACAAAAGCACAACTTTATCTGAAATAAAACTCAATCAAAGAATACTACTAGATGATCCATTTTTTATCTGCTGAGTCTCAAAACTGTTACTAGTATTTACATATCATTACAATCTTACTGTTTACGTATACTAAACCCCACAAATCCTTATTTGTATTTTTACTGTACCTTGTATCTGTAGTGAAATATATCCGGGATCACTATGAATAATAAAATGATCGTTGTGCAGTTTTTTTTTAATTTGATATACGCCTACTAAATTAATCAGAAATAAACAAGTATGTGAAAATATTTTATCCTGAAGGACGATATTATTTACAAAATATACTTAGCCCTAGTCTATCATAGTTATCCAGAAATACAGCCCGATCAACATTATTGTATGAAAATTATCCGAAATGCATTATTCATCACCCTTTCGTTTCACAAAAGTCTCTAAATTTTAACTGAAAGTCACATATAAAAAGTCAATGTTGTTACATGTACTAGCATCAATTTTACATATTCTGCAGCATGAACTCAAATCAAGAAATCTTGATGATTCAAATTATCAATTTGTTTGAAGATTTTGTGGACAAATATAAAGGTGGTACCTAACACTTCAGGGAGATAACTCTGTAAAATATTAAGTAGTTTAATCGATAGATAATGATGAATGAGAAGGACATTCTTGTAAACATTAAAAAAATAACATCATTTTTTTTAGGTACAAATTAACTTACTGAGGTTTCAACTCCCGCAGGCAAAGTTGACCTCAGATGGATTTGGCTATTTTAGGTACATTTGGTCATATAGCTTTTCAACTGTGTCGGTTCTTAAACACCCTTGGCTTTTAAATATTCGGGATTGATTGTCCTGATGAAGGTTAATCAAGAAAAGCGCTTCGAACGCATTGATTTTATAACGTGTTGTTTTCATTCTTTATAGCACTGGGTCGATACCTTTGCTGGTGGACTATTAGTCCCCTATGGTATTACCAGCTCAGTAGTCAGTACTTCGGTACTCACATGATTTGAAACAAACATTTCTAAAATTGTTCATTTATAAATTTTAAATTATAAAAAAAACGGAGGTTTCAACTCCCTCAGGCTAAGTTGACCTTAGATGAATTTGGCTGTTTTTCAGGTATAATTTTATCTGTTAACAAAAAAAAAAAGATGGAAGATACGAATTGACAAAGAAATTTCATAAGTAGTTGAGAAAAGGACAAATAGATGACAAAACATGATGAACGACGAGAAGAAAAATCACAGGTGTGAATGAGGCATATTTCATATATCGATTCACGGAAAGATAAAAAATGTCTTTGTCGTATAATCAGTATGCAATTCATGTTATCAGATAGACGATAATTTTCATGCTCAAAATTTCGCTTCTGTTACTCTATTTTCACAACATGACATTACTTATCTAATAGAGCAGAAAATGGTTTCGATAAACAAGTTTAACACCATATATTGTATTTAGGCCTGTTATATTCTACGCACAAAATAAAATTTTTAGCAATTACAAGTATAAAACATCAACCGGACAATAAAAAAATATTTGCCACTGGATGGGAAGCAACCAACAATCGATCACTTAAATTTTATGATTAAATCAATATATCTGGTTTTTTTTTCATATCCAGCTTGATATAAATCTATATAAAAGGGTAAAGATGTGTTTTTGTTTTTGTTTAGTATTTGTGTTAATATATATGACATAACTATTCATAAAGAAGGGGACACTAGCTTTGCAAAGAAGGACATATACACAAGTTATCAATCTTAAAGAGATTAGACATGTTAAATAGTAATTAACTAATATGTTGGAAAGATAACTGGAATAATTAATCCAAGGATATGTTTGATTATACGTCACTAAAACGCCAACCTGACAATAATAAAATGTCAATATAAAAGGATTTAACGAAAGAAAAAAAATAAACGATTATTGATTTGACAAGAAACAAAAGGAGTGTTAAGAATCACAAAAATGAAACATAACAAATCAGACATTACTAGCATACAAAAAGGCCCAATTCAATACTAAAACATCAAACTAGAACAACACGAAGTCAGTGAAACAATTGAACGCACGGACTAATCGATAGTTTATACTCTACTGGTGTCATCAGTCGATTTGTTTATGATAGGCAAAATATAGTGACAAATTATTAACAACATTATTAAATGTTATACCTAGCTAAAAACCCAGCTTGTATGGCAATTTTTTATAAAAGTAGTTGTGATTACATCGTTCAACAATCAAAATAATAGACAATTGAAAACAAACTGAAAGTGAAAGCGTTGTTTTTATAAAATTGCTTACAATATAGTAATATTATCACATTCTGTTACGTATGTAGTAACACGCATAATGCCACGTAGCCAATAATGAAAGAGATTTGTGAAGAAAAAAAGGGATTCATCGATAAAAAAATGCGAGACACTCATCCACCTGCAGCGTAAAAGGCGGTCATCATTGTGTTCCAAAATCATAAAATAAGGTGTACAAAGAATTATCACAACTAATAAGGTGATAAAGCTTTGACAATAATAGTTGTAATAAAAAATACTAGATGGAGATTGCCTTAATTACGACATGTTGTAAAGTTATAATTGCTATATGAAAAAGTGTCCGGGATAGTTCCGCAATCGATTATGAGCAACAGTTACTTATTGTTTATCGAGTACAACTAGTCTTCTTTTTTTATACCCAACATCATTAATGTACACAAATGTGGTTATGTCCTGATGTGACATGCACAGGTACAAATTTACCAACTAATAGCCCCTTGTTTTCTTTCTTTTGTTTTTTCAGGTTAATTTTGTTCGTCCGTAGCCTGTTCTGATAGTAACGGGCTTAATGTCAAGAAGTCAATAATGATACAGATTTGAGAAGAAAAAGGGACTATTTGATGACAAACTGTCACAACTAAATTGTGAGACACTCATCTACCAGCAGTGTAAAAGGCGGTCATTCTTGTTTTCTAAAATCATAAAATCAATAAGGTGTACACAGAATTAAAACAATTTATAAAGTAGCATCTTTACTGCAGAAGTTAAGGCGATAATTCTGGCCTTGCAGTTTATTGCTACTTTTGAAAAATCAAAGTTAAGTGTATGTTCTGTTTCGCTAACATTTCTTCATGCAATACAAAATACCAAAATTAAAAACCCGTTAATTCTAAAAATTATTTACGTGATGAGAAACTTGAGAAATAAAGAATTATATTTCTATGGGTGCCAAGTCATACCGGCATTCACGGAAACACAGTTGTAGATCAGGTAGCAAAGAATTCCCTGACCGACCCTATATCTAAATGTGAAATAACATTTAATGATTTTAAATCTAATAAAAGAGAATATGTTTTAGATTTATGGAAAAACGCGTGGAGTAAAAGGAACGACAATAAATTGCATGAAATAAAACCAACTTTATGAAAACCTTTAAACAAATTTATAAGCAGAAAAGATAAGTGTGTTATTTCTAGATGCCCTATTGGTCATGCTAGAAATACACACAAATATCTTTTAAAAAATGAAATCAACCAGTATGTATACCTTGCGATTGCAAGTATACTATTAAAAACCAATTGTTTGGAGAACAATTGAAGGTCGTTCCACATAAAATAAGAAGCTACTTTCAGTTTACTCAGAGTTACTATTGGTGTCCAATCATACGTTTCTTCATACTGATTAAAAACATTTGGTTTTTATATACAATTGTCTGAAATAAGAGAGATATTTAGCTACTTCTGGTTTAGAAAATGTCACTATTGGTCTCATATGATAGCTTTAGTCACACTAATTCCAAAAACATATGGTTTATATTTACTTTTGCTTGACATAAGGATGACAAATTGCAACTTCCGGTTTAAAAAAAAATCACTTCTTGTACCATATGATTGGTTACCACACACTGATTCCAAAATTATATGGTTCTAGGTAATTTTAAATGAAACCAGTGCAGGATTTGGCTTCTTTCGGTTTACAAAAGGTCACTTCCGCCTTTCCTTTTCAAGGTCATATATCTACCAACCTAATGCATGATACCCAATAGCTTTATCATGTAAAAAATGAATTTGTTGCTAAGGTCAAAATCTAGAACGTCATATTTACCCTTGACCTTGAACTAAATTTCAAGATCTTAAACAAGGACCTCAAATCAAAAGACCCTAGGTCTCTACTATATATGGTTAATGATTTGTATCACAGCTAATTTTAAATATAAGAGAAAACTCCTATTAAATATCAACGTACCCTTTCAACCAAAATGTATGTGTTGCAACATGTCGCAAAAAACAATTTCGTCAAATATAATGTCGATATCTTTTATGGTTTCTGAGGAAAAGCCAAAATAAGCCATAATCAAAATTTAGAACATGACCTTTAACCTTCACCGTATTTTCATTTTTGTGGACCCTGGACCTCAAATCAAAATTCCCTAGGTGTCTGTCACTTTTGGTTTACCAGTTACAAATACATTTCAATTATACCAAATATATAAGAGAAAATAACTCTCGTATGGATTCTCTGCATTGCTTCGGTCAAAATTGATTTTGACAACCTGAAGATGTAACGTGTAATTTGGTCAAAAAATTTTGGCAGTTTCTTTTACGGTTACGAGTAGCAATCACAAGGAACACAGTGTTCGGGGAGATAACTCTTACAAGGAAATGTGTTCATTTAAACAGTGTCAGTTTCAAAAGCGTAAAAACTGTTCGATATCATATAAAAAAATACCAAAGAGACATCTTGCGGAATAAAATCTTCTCGCAAGAAATAAAAGTGGCGGAAGAAAAAACAAATAATAATTATCAGAACAAAATCAATAGGTCTTTCCACGGAAAATAAAACATATTTTGATTGAATGTTGACTTTCCGATATCCGAAAAAAAACATTGTTATGTAAATAATGTAAATTATATGTATGATTTATTTAATAATATTCCTGTTGAAATAATTGTTTCATTTAAAAAAGATATTTGAATATATTCCAATTTGTTGTATAAGTTTAAAACGATTTAAAGTTTTTATCAGGTTATCTTATTGATGAAATTTTATTTGTGAATAAGTAATTTCGCTTCTTACTAAAGTTTTAGTACATTGAAAGACCTTTTGTTTGATTAAAAAAAAAACGTCTCGTTATAATATTTAAAATAGCTCTGGACGCGATATAACCTGTTTGTGCTGATGCGTCGTAAGTTAATCAATCATCAATCAATAA